GAGGAGGAGGAGGAGGAGGAGGAGGAGGAGGAGGAGGAGGAAGAGGAGGAGGAGGAGGAGGAGGAGGAGGGGAGGAGGTGGAGGTGGAGGTGGAGGAGGAGGAGGAGGAGGAGGAGGAGGAAGAGGAGTGCGAAGGGGAAGAGAAGGAGGGAGAGGAGGAGGAGGAGGAGGAGGAGGAGGAGGAGGAGGAGGAGGGCGAGGTGAGGAGGCGGAGGAGGAGGAGGCGGAGGAGGAGGAGGAGGAGGAGGAGGAGGAGGAAGAGAGAGGAGGAGGAGGAGGGAGGAGGGAGGAGGAGGAGGGAAGAGGAGGAGGGCGGAGGAGGAGGAGAGGAGGGCGGAGGAGGAGAAGGGCGGAGGAGGAAGGAGGAGGAGGAAGAGGAGGAGGGCGGAGGAGGATGAGGAGGAGGAGGAGAAGGAGGAGAGGGAGGAGGAGGAGGGGGAGGAGGAGGAGGAGGAGGAGGAGGACGAGGAATCATACCAATAGCATTAATAATGCCAACACTAACACTAGCAATAATAAACATACTAATAAGAGTAAGAATACTAGAACTTCGAACACTAATAATAAGACTACTCATACTAATAAGAAGAATATGAAGAATAATAAGAGAATAATACTACTACTAATGATACTAATAATAATAATAGTAATAATAATAATATTAATAATGATAATAATAATACTAATACTACTAGTAATACTAATAATACTAGTACTAATAGTAATAATAATAATAATAATTCTTTTAATAAGAGTAAGAATCATAAAAATAATAATAATAATACGAATAATACTAATAATACTGATACTAATAATAATTGGAAGAAGAAGAGGAGGTGAAGGAGGAGGAGGAGGAGGGAGAGAGGGGGAAGGGGAGAAGCAAGGAACAAGTTACGAGCGGAAGTGCGAGGAACAGGGAGAATGGAGGAGGAAGGGAAATGGGCGTTGAGGGTATGCGATCGCAATGATCAGCTCCAGGGATGCCCTCTCGCAGCCTTAGCTTGCCTGTCACTGGCTCCGCGGTCTGCCTCTCTTTAAGGCCACGTTTGGCCACCTGCTCGAACCTCTTGGCTTCACTTGGGGATGGGGAAAGCTCACGCACACGGCGAAGTTTAATGAGGGGCTTGTGGCATAGATGGTTTTTGGGGTACCTGAGAAGGATTGGCGTCTCCGCAGGCGTGGCTGATCAGACGTCCAGCAGGGCGCGGTAGGATTGTTTGATCGCGTTGCTAGCAGTAGCTTGCCAGCTAAAGCTCAGTCGATTGGCACGTGTTATTCGGTTGGCCAAACGTACATCGGATATGGTGGAGTTTTTTTCATCGCTTCGCTCATTCCGCCGGCCCTGGAGCGCTCTTTTGGGCCTCTTTGGGGCCTGTTGGGCGCCTCTTGGAGGCCTCTTGGGGCTCCTTGGCGGCGTCTTGGGGGCCCCTGGGGCCTCTTGGGGGTCTCCTGGGCGCCTCTTGGGGCGGGAGGGGGAGGTATTATTCCTTGTCCTCAGCCGCCTCTTCCATCTCAGTCTCTTGTATCGTCGTCCTCGATGGACCGCTCATAGTTCGCATCTTGGTACCCTGTTGGCGCGCCCCGGGTCGACCGAGAGTCAAACGGGAGTGGGCCAGGACGTAGCTGAATTATCTAGTTGCCTTCGGCGTATCCCGCCAGGTTGGCCTCTGTAGGACCTCTGGGATGCAAATTTGAAGGTTCGACCGAGAGTCGGACGGGAGTGGGCCAGGACGTAGCTGAAATATGCAGTTGTCCTCGGCGTATCCCGCCAAGTTGGCCTCTGCAGAAGCTCTGGGATGCATCTTTGAAGCTTGGACCGAGAGTCACACGGGAGTGGGCCAGAACGTAGCTGAAATATCTATTTTTTTCGGCGTATCCCACCAGATTGGCCTCTGTAGGACCGTTGGGATGCAGGTTTGAAGGTTCGACCGAGAGTCGGACGGGAGTGGGCCGGGACGTAGCTGAAATATGCAGATCGGACTGGAGTGGGCCGGGAAGTAGCTGAAATATGCAGTTGTCTTCGGCGTATGCTGCCAGATTGGCCTCCGTAGGACCTCTGGGATGCAGGTTTGAAGCTTCAAGAAGCGTCTAGGAGGTACTTTCTTCGGAACCTCTGGGAGCCTTTTGGGGCCCACTGGAGGCCTCTTGGAACAAGCGTTCTAGTTCCTTGGAGCGTTTCCTGGCGACTGTGGGGCTTCTTGAAAGCCTCCTGGGGGCCTCTTTCGCGCCTTTGGTGGCCTCTTGAGGGCCTCTTGGAGGCCTTTGCCGGCGTCTTGGGTGCCCCTGGGGCCTGTTTTGGGGCTCTTGGGGAGCTCTTGGGGCGGGAGGCGGAGGTAGTCGATCGCGGCTTCTCCCTCCGAGGCCACGATCCTCGTGAGGGGTGTCTGAAAATGGCCCTCCCCTGGAGTGCTCTGGGGGGACCTGACCGCGACCTGGCCGGGGTACTTTTCGTCCGGGGCCCCCAGGGGCCGCCCCGCGCGCGCGAGCTAGAAATACTGTCAACCAGTCACCGGAGATCTTAGCACGCCTCTGGCCCGTTGGGCCGGCGAATTGTGGTAGCAGGTGCACGACAGCTGCTCGAGGGTATCTTCGAAACCTTAGGAGTCATAGGAAGTGATCGATGCTTGCTTTCTTGGACCAGTGCCATGAAGTGTTGAAACGCGTGCGAGGCAGCATTGCTGTGCACTGGACTGGGGGAGACCCTAACTTTGCACAAAGCTATCACATATGATTCGGTGAAGTAAAGGTATATCTTAGCGGCGCGCCAGATAGTGTGTTGGCAAAGTTGCCGCTTTTGGACAAGCGTCCGAAGACCAAGTTCGGAACGCGGTCTTTGCGTACGGAAGTCTCCCAAACGGTTGTCCCGAATCTTGGCGGCGCAGCACCGGTTTTTCCTCTTCGTCAGAGCGAGCAGTTTGATAAACAAAAAAACATGCTGCCAGGGCGTTCCGCCGTGGGCTCCCGCAGTGGAGCTCTCCTGTAGGGCACGATCCGCGCGAAGGGTGTGCCAAGCGGAGCTCGCCCCCCCCCCCGTTCAAGGCACGCCCCCTGGGGCCACAGGTGGAGCTCCTTATCAAGGCAGGTTCGTGTCGTGCCGACGTTGGTGCTGGCTTTCGACACCGCGGGGATTGCTCAGCCTTGAGCGATCGGTCGTTTACAAACGTCCGATCGTTCACCATCGACCGATTTTGGGTCGCCGGCGGCATTCAACCTTGAACGCCCGCGCTGGGTTCGCCGCTGGTCGACACGACGCAAACCTACCGTATGGGGCCCGATCCGCGTGATGGGTACACTGCAATGGGCGGGGTCCACGTGCGAGGACGCCCACCGAGGCCGCAGGCGGAACTCGCGTAATTCGGCACACCCTCCTTGAGGATGATGCAGATGTGTTTCTTATTCGAACCTGCTTGTGACCCTCTGGTCCTGTCCTTGGTCCTTGCAGAAATCCACACATGCGGTACAGCCGTCTTCGAGCTTGCAAGCATACCAACAAACAGACATGACAAGCATTATGTTTGCATGGTGCCATGGTGTATGACCCCCTGCTTTCCTCGACCATATGAGCCTCACAAGTGGTTGACGCGCACCTCAATGTCGCCCCCATTCAAAGTGGAAGCAAAGCGGTGCGCGGTCTGGGCGGATGAGATTAGGAAGTCATGTCCCGCCACCTTGCCAGCGCAGCATTCGGCATGGCGACGCCTCGAGCATCGCCGAGAAGACCGTCACATTTGGCACTTTTCGTGTCTGTTCCATGTGAGTCCGTCTCTGATGTGGGTTACCTGTGCCGTCTTGGAGCTGTCTTGGGCTTCCGTGTGGCCCTCGTGGGATGTTCTTGCGACCCTTTTGGGTCGTTTTGAGGCTTTCTTGGGCCATCTTGTTGCCGTCTTGCGCCATTTTGGGGCCATCCTGGGCTGCCATTGGCCCCCCTTGGTCCGTCTTGGGGCCCTCCTGGTGCTGTCCTGGGCTTGGGGGCTTCTCGAGGCCCTCGTTGGGCTCCTCTGGCACCTCTTCGAGACTCCTCCAAGGCCCAGTGGGTGTCAACTTGAGCCCAGAGGCCCAGGAAGCCTGAACGAGCCAGGATCCCGAGGAGCCCCGCAGACTTGCAATCGCCACCACCCCCACCCCCAGCCCAACCCGAAGGCTTCACGTTGCCCTCCATTTCCGGGGGGGTGGGCGCCGGGGAACATTGAGGAAACACATCTAGAACCCATACAGGGTCTGCGGGTTGGGTTGGGTTGGAGGAGGAGGAGGAGGAGCAGGAGGAGGAAGAGGAGCAGGAGGAGGAGGAGGAGGTGGAGGAGGACGAGGAGGAAGAGGAGGAGGAGGAGGAGGCCCATACATCCCCAACCCGAAATTCGGGTCTTCGCGTTGGGTCGGGGTGGTCCGGTAGGTAGTCATGCAGGGACCTTGGCCTTCCAGGGGCGCCCCGCGGTCGTGCCATCTCGAGCGCCGCGCTCCCTCTCTCTCTCTCTCTCTGCGCAGGCCGCCCGGGCCAGGCGCACCACGAGGCTGGACCGAGGGCGTTTCGAAGTGCATCACGGCTGATGCCGAAGCCAGAGTTGAGGTGCCCAGAAGAGGAGAGGTCATGGCGCCAACATCGCAGAGGAGAGGTCATGTGCCCAGAAGAGGGGAGGAGAAGACTACAACAAATCCACGTGGAATCCGATTCGTTTTTTCGCTCGCCGTTTCGGGGTTTTGCATCGACAGAAATCCACGCAAAAATCCGCTGCAGCACGTCTGCAAGGTCGGCGCTGGGATGGGCCGAAGGGGACGGGATCCACCGCCCCCCGTGGCTTGCCACAGGGGAGCGCGGCGTGCTGGACCTCTGGTCGTGCTGGCTCCTTTGGAAGGTTTACCCATGGGGGTGTCGGCCGATCCCTCCGGCTATCCCGCAGGCTCGGTCAGCAGCACGCCGTGGGGTGGTGCTGCGGCCCTCCCCCCCGCGGGGCGCACCCCGAGGAGGCGAGGAGGGTCCCCCGCGCCGCGCCCCCCCGCCGCAGGGCTCCCGCGGCGGCAGCGCGGCCGTGCCTCCCGCGGCACGCGCGTCGAGCGCGGAGGGGCCGAGGGCTCGCAGCGCCTCGCCCTGCGTGCGGACCAGCCACCCCGCCGAGCGGATTGTCAGGGGCAACGGTCGAGGGGGGACGGGTTCTACCGATCCGACGAAGGCGTCTGTACACCGCCACCGTGCCAGGCCAGGGCCATCCTGGGCCCTAGGATGGTGTATAGACCCTCCTGGCCTCGGCCAGGAGGGCGTACACACCATGCCAGGGCCAGGATGGGCCTGGCTTGGCACGGTGGTGGTGTACAGACGCCTTCTGCGTAACCGACACGCCTGGGGGTGCGACAGGGAGGACTTGTTGATCAGGGAAAGGAGTAGAGAAGAAGGATGGACGCCGCCGGGAGGGGGAGCAGGAGGCGCATGCAGGAGGTGGGCGGACGAGAGGAGGCGGAAAGGGAGGATCAGGGACAACGTTAAAGGGGGATAGGCATAGGGGGGGAAGCATCGACCCCCAATCGCTTATTGATCGCCGATAGGGGTCTGATAGCCCCACCCCGCCCAGGAACGTGCGGATTCGCTATCGGGGGCCTATCGCCGCGGCGATGTAGCGCCGATCCCAGGTCGAGGTTTCTTCCCCTATGCCAGTCCCCCCCCTTATCGTTGCCTCTCAGAAGAGGGGAGGGCGGAGGAAGGGGGGGATGGCGGTGGGGAGAAATGACCCAGGAAGAGGGGGAGGCTGGGGAAGGAAGGAGCGAGGATCGGGAGGAAGGGCGATGAAGGGGGGAATAATGAGGAGGAAGCAGGGAGTAGGGGCGACGGAGGAGCGAGGAAAGAGAGAGAGAGAGATATAGAGAAAATGAGAGAGAGAGAGAGGCGAGAAGGCGAGCGGAGGGAGGAGGCGGCGATAAGAGCAGGGTGCCGCAGCATGCCGAGGGGCGGCGGAAGGGAGCAGGGGCACGAGTTTTGGCGGGGGACTATGCAGGGACAGGAGAGGTCAGCTTCTCATGGTGCTCATTCGATGGTACCATTAGTTTTGCTGTCTTGTTTATCCTATCTCTCTCTCACTCTCTCTCTCTCTCTCCTCTTTTGTCTCTCTCTCTCTCTCTAGTTGTCTCTCTCTCTCTGTCTATTTCTCTCTCTTTCTCTCTCTCTCTCTCCCCTCTCTCTCTTTGTATATCTCGCTCGTTCTTCTTCGTAGATTCCCCCTCTCTCTTTCCCTCTGCCTGACTCTCTCTCCCTCCCTTCCTCTCTCGACCCCCTTACATACATATACACATACATGTGCGTAAGCATATACATATACATTGAGGCGCTGGAGTAAGGAACACTTATGTTTCAAAAGGGGCTCGATCGTTCCTTAGGTTTGCATGCGTTCCGCTACCTTTTTGGCGGCGAGCCCCCTGGTGTTCCGTAAGATTTTGGACGCGCGGGTTCGTTTTGCCGTCACGGCGGCTGGTTTTAAGGAACGGGGCTCCAAGAGGAGCTCGGTTCCTTGCGCCTGCTCGACATGATGCGACGGCGGTTGCGTACAAGCCCGGCACCTCTCGGGCCCTCCCGTTCCTTGTGGGGCGCGCGTCGGAGTTTTCCCCCCCAATCCGCGTGCCAACGTAGGGGCATCAAGGTCCAGTTCCTCGCAGGAGCACCTCCCGTTCCTTAGGCTGCGCGGTTCGGAACTCATTGGCTCGACATGATGCAACGGTGGTCGCGTTAAGATCTAGTTCCTCTCTCGGGCCCTCCCATTCCTTGCGGTGCGCGCGTTGGAGTTTTCGCCCCCATCCGCATGTTCAGGTAGGGGCATCAAGGTCCAGTTCCTCGCAGGAACACCCCCCATTCCTTAGGCCACGCGGTTCGAAGCCCACTGCCTCGACATAGTGCAACGGTGGTCGCGTTGAGGCCCAGCTCCTCTCTCGGTCCCTCCCTTCCTTGCGGGGCACGGCGAGATCAGCCCCGCAAGATTTGACGGAGCGTCTTTCCAGTCGATTTGCGGTGGACCCTAGGTGGAAGCAGGCAAAGGAGGAGGGAGGAATGGAGGAGGGAGGAATGGAGGATGAAGAGGAGGATGAGGAGGAGGGAGGAATGGAGGAGGTGGAAGGGGGAGGGGGAGGAGGAGGAGGAGTAGGAAGAGGAGGAGGAGAAGTAGGAGGAGGAGGAGGAGGAGGAGGAGGAAGAGGAGGAGGAACGACGACGACAGTGGTCGACCATGATGGCTTTCGCGGACCTTTCCCTCCAGGGAGCCTCTTGGAGGCTTTTTGGACCCGTACCCTGTTGGGGCAATTCTTGGGTCGCTCTTGAGGCGCTATTTGGCGCTCTTGGTGCTGTCTTAGAGCTCTCTTGGGCCTGTCTTAAAGCCTCGAGGGCCTGCTTGGTGGTCACCTTGAGGCTTCGGCAGGCCATCGGAAATTGAAAGGCGATATGCCCATCGAGAGACGATGCCCACACGAGTGGCCCTGATCAGAAAACTGAGGGAGCACGCAGAGGAACCAAGGGCTTGCGAAACCGTCTTATTCGACGAGGGCTGAGGGTGAAACACCCATAGAAGCTGCGTCCTAGATTGATGAGATTGGATGTTGTTTTGTGTTCGCCAGATTGGATCTGATTGAGTCCTTCGCCAGATTGCCAGATTGGGCCCGCCAGATTGGCGCCAGATCGGCTTCGGATCGGAAACTTGCCACGTTAAGGTCCAGTCCCCCGCGCGAGCCCCTTGCGTTCTTTGCGCGGAAGGAGTTGGGGCTCGCGTGCGTAACCGAATCGGGAAGCGGTCACGCTAAGCCCCTGTCCCCCACGCGAGCCCTTTTTGCGTTCTTTGCGCATTGCGAGTTGGGGCTCGCGCGCGGAACCGGATCGGAAAGTGGCCACGTTAAGGCCCAATCCCCACGCAAGCCCTTGGCGTTCCTTGCGCGGTGCGAGTGTGGGTTCACGCGCGGAACCGAATCGGAAGATAGTCGCGTTAAAGCCAAATTCCTAGCCTGAGCCCGTGGCGTTCTTAAGGCTGCATTTTTGCTTTCGATTTTGGAACGGCAGGGGATGACGGGGCGGGCGTTCTGTGGTAGTTTGGCAGAGGGGGCGGGGGTCGAATCGCAAAAGCAGATCGTGGCGGAACGCCGCTCGAAAAAGGGTTCGGCAGTTCCTTCGGGTTTCATTCACTTTCTTGGGAAAAAACGGGGCGTCCTTCCTCGTCGATCGTTCCTTAACTTAGTGCTTCACTGTATACATATACACATGCATATACATATACAATAACATGCACATATACGTATACATTTACCTATGCACATACATATGCATATGCAAATACGTATACGCATGCATAGATCTATACATATACACATACACATATATATACATGTATATATATGTACACATACATATACCTATACGTATACGTATACGTTTACGTATACATATACATACTCACATACGGGCACACGCATACATACACACATATTTACACACATGCATACATACATACATACATACATACATACATACATACATACATACATACACACGCATGCATGCATGCATGCATACATACATACATACATACATACACACATACGTACGTACGTACGTACGTACGTACGTACATACATACATACATACATACATACATACATACATACATGCATGCATACATACATACATACACACACGCATTCATGCATGCATGCATACACACATACACACATACATACATACATACATACATACATACACATACATACATACAGACAGACAGACAGACAGACAGACAGACAGACAGACAGACAGACAGACAGACAGACATACGTACGTACGTACATACATACATACATACCGGGGGACGTGGCCGGGGGGGGCCCGCCCAGGGACCTCGGCAAGGCATGGCGGGCCCGGGGCCTTACTTTCTTTGTGTTTTTACAAGGTTTCGGCCACCCGGAGCCACCAGAGCCCCAGGGGACGTGGCCGGGGGGGTTCCGCCCACGGACCTCGGCGGCGCATGGGGGGCCCAGGGCCTTATTTTCCTTGTGATTTTTAATAGGGTTTCGGCCACCCGGAGCCACCAGAGTCTCGGGTGGCGTGGCCGGGGGGTCCCGCCCAGGGACTTAGGCGGCGCATGGGGGGCCCGGGGCCTTACTTTTCCTGTGTTTTTAAAAGGTTTCGCCAGCCTGGAGCCACCAGAGCCCCAAGAGGTTGCAGGGAGTTCCAGGGGCTGCTCCCGCCTGGTGCCCCAGGTCTCCCACAGGCCTCCCAAAGGCCTCCAGGAGAGCTCCCCGAATCTCACACACTTGGTTCTCCCCTAGTTTTTCCACGTTTCTCTCCACGCAGCTTGTTCTGCATCCCCACGCTGCGCGGCAGCCAGAGATCAGGAGGGGAAAAAACACACAGACACAATTAATCGTCGATTCCCAAGAAAATATGGGAACATGTGGGAATTGGGGGGGGAAGACAAAAACCCAGAAAATATAGGAAAATATGGGGGATCTTTTTATTTGTGTGTATTTATTTGTGTGTCCTGGGGCCCCTTCAAGAGAGGACGCCCAAACCGTCCCGGTTCGGCCCCTGACGCTCCCAACCTTGTCCCCAGATGGCTCCGCATGGGAGGATCGGCGCGCCCCAGTAGGGTCACAGAGCGGCCGGGGACGCTCCAAGATCCTTGCGATGCCGACGATCACCCCAAGACAGCCCCCTGAGCGACTTCGTCGACACGTCATGCTTCCAAGAGGCCTTCCCGGAGTGCTCTCTGAGGCCTTGCTTTTTGTTGGTCCAATGTTTTTGTTTTTTACGTTTTCACTTATCCAGCTTGTTCTGCATCCCCACGCTGCACGGCATCCTAAGAGGACGTCCAGACCGATGTGTTTCGGGCCCCTGGGACTCCCAACCGTGATCCAAGACGGCTCCGCATGGAAGGGCCAACGCCCCCAGGTAGGCTCCACGAGCCGCCAGAGTCGCTCCCAGGCCTGCGCGACGCCGACGATCGCAGACAGCCCCCCGAGCGGTTTCGTCGACACGGCGTGCTTCCAAGAGGCCTCCCCGGAGCGCACTCTGAGGCCTTACTCTTTGTTTGTTCCAAGCTTTGCATACCCACGCTGCACGGCAGCCCAAGAGGGCGC